CATCTTCTGTGGCTCGCCCATCTTCTGGTATCCCTTAATCTTCATCACCAGCGGGTGCCCGGCGCCAACGCTGACCCCAGAGCAGCCGCCGCCGCCCCCGGCGAGGTCCTGCCGGCGCGCGCGATCCCAGATTCGAATATGCTTCGGGCACCTTCCTGCTACGGGAGTCGCGTGGTCCTCCCTCTTCCTTCCTCTTCAGGGGGCGGGAGGATTGGCCACCTACTTTCGGCGCCTTCCAACTGACTGTTTCTACCCACACCTTCCGATCGGCTGCACGCAAGAGTGACCCTGGGTAAGAGTGACCGGGCCACGGGGGGGGGGGGGCAACCCCAGGCGCGCAAGACGCTACTATCGCATCGCGTTCGGCGATCGGGGGACCGCACCAAAGGTCACTCTGGCGAAGGGTCGCGCTTACATCTGGTCGATCCGAACGATGGGCAGACCTTCGAGCCGCCGGGCGTCTGGGGCCCCAACGCAGCCGCGCCGCCGCCGCCCGCAGAGGTGCTGCTGGCGCGCGCGCGCTCTCCCGAGGCGGGCGGAGAGCGCCCGAACGACCGCGCGCCTTGGGGCCGCTCGGCTCTCGGGCCGCGCGGCGGGGGAGGGCGTCCGCCGCCCCAGACGCCCGGCGGCTCGAAGAAGCGCCTCGAAGAGCTGCCCATCGTTCGGGAGGTGTGGGTGCTGTCGGAGCCAGGCCAGGTCGTGCTCGGGCAGATGCAGCCAGGCCTCCAAGGCATGAAGCTAGATCAGGCCAGGTCAAAACAGACGGGGCTGAAACAGGGCGAGCTGGGACCAAAGAAGCTCCAGGGCCGATGCTGCGTCTGCCCCCCAGGAGTTGCAACCTGAACGTGGGTCGCCTGCAGTCGGACCTAAGCCAGAAGAACAACCCTCAAGAACACGAGACCCTCCGTCGGCCAAAACAAACAGAACATCCAAGGGTACCCTCCACAGGATGCACAAGAGCATCCCACATGCACGAAGAATACTAGGGTACCCTCCCCGAGCCGACCTCGATCTTATAACTCGGTCCGACGGTAGTGGCGGTGCGCAGAGGAGGGTAGGGGAAAGGCTTCTTAAAAGAAGGCTGAGTCTTAGAAGACGCTGGCCTTACATCTATAGACAAGGCCCCCGTGCCTTCTACGAAGCAGGGGTGCTTCTAAGAAGCCTTCCCCCATCCCCCTTACCCCCCCCCTGCACGTGGCCGAGGGTAGAAACATAAATTGGAAGGCGTTGACCGCCCGCACCCTGAAGAGGAAGGGAAAGGGAGCACCACTTGACTCCCAAGGTAGGAAGGCGCCAAAAGCATAGTCCAATCTGAGAATCCAAGAGAACAGTACCAGCGCGGCCGCAAGAAACCCTCGCAAGAAACCCAGCCCTGAAACCTGCAGGCGCGAGATGCAAGTGGGGGGGAGCTGAGCACCCTGAACGCAGCAGTTCCTTCAACGGCCACGGGAAGCCATCGCACAGCGCGGCGTGGAGCGAAGAACCCCATGACACCCTGACGAAGAGCAGTCAGTTTCTTGATGCGCACCCCCACCGTACACACTTTCAACAAACGATCGGTGTACTTTCAAACGTTTCCGCTCGCCATTTTGGGGGGTTTCGGGGCGTTTTGCCTCGCCGCTGCGGCCAGATCCGCCTTGAGATCTCCCACCGGCCCTCTGGGAGGGGTGGCCTTGAGCGATTCCTCTTCCAATAAGACGAAACCAAGACGAGGACAAAATAGGGGAGGATAAACCGAGAGTCTCTAAGATCTGGCGGCTCTGGAGGATGTCTCGGGCGCCGCGGCCTTCCCAGAGCGTTCTTGAACGCGATGAGAGCGTTCTGGAAAGCATGGTGCGGATTTAGCCTTGTGTCACTCCCGTCCGATCCAGCCCCCGTCTGCCCCTTCCGAAAGAGGGATATCTCTGCCCGCTCGGAAAAAAATAATAACAAAACAAAAAAAACTCCCACACTGGACTGGCCGCCGACCCGAAACCATGCCCCCCCCCCCACGATTAGCCGTGTCAAGACAAACCATACAGAGTGAACCTTGTGACCTCTGCACCCCCTGCGCGCGCTGTTTTACTATTCCCAAACATCCTGTGGTGTTGGGTCCTCGTTTTGAAGAGCAGCGCCCCGCGTCTCACTCGTTCCTCCCGCTGCCCCCTCCCTCCCCCATCCGCCCCCACTTTGGCACGCGGAATGGGCGCGGTGGTGCCATGCGAACGAAGCCACTGGGGCCTTCGGTGGAGCTCCCCATGGGGCCAAGAAGCGCGTAAAAGGTGTGCCGAAACGTGTCGGCCGGACGCATGCGAACACAGCCGCTGTGGCCTTCGGTGGAGCTCCCCATGGGGCCACGGAAAAGGGTATGCCGAACTGAGTCGGGAGGACGCAAGCGAGCTGCGCCACGGAGGCACGCGGTTGAGCTCCCAACGGCGCCGCGCATGGCGTTGGTTGAGCTCCCTACGGGCCGACAAAACGAATAAGGGGTGTACCGAAATGGGTCGGGCAGACGCATGCGAACTGCGCCACGGAGGCGCTCGGTGGAGCGCCCCATGGCGCCACGAAACGCGTGAGGGGTGTGCCGACATGGGTCGGGCAGACGCATGCGAACTGCGCCACGGAGGCGTTCGGCGGAGAGCCCTACGGGGCCACGAACCGCATGAGGGGTGCGCCGGTATGGGTCGGGCGGACGCGTGCGAACTGCACCACGGAGGCACTCGGTGAAGTTCCCTTGGGCCGACAAAACGCATGAGTCATGGTGCCGAGATGGGTCGGGCGGACGCATGCGAACTGCGCCACGGCAGCGGCGCCGCCGCCGCCGCCGCGACGGCGACGGCACCCAGGACGGCGGCGGCGAGAGGCCGTGCGCCTGGGGCGCCGCGCGGGGAGCCCGCTGCGGCTCGGCAGCCGCACGGCAGGGCCAGTGGGGGTGGGACGACAGCGCTAAGAGCTTACGAATGTAACCACTTCTGCCGTCCCTACTCCCACGAGTTCTCAGAGTGCCCCCCTGGACGTCTCTGGATGTATCTCGACGTGTCTGGACGTGCGTCGACCAGTATAGGTTTGCCCAGGTTTACGGACCGCGCGCCCACGGGGAAGGCAGGGGGCGGGCCTTGTGCCTCAGGCCTTCTGAGAAGCGTCCTCAGCCTTCTCCAAAGCCCCGCCGCCTTGTGCGGGCAAGACGTGTGTCCATATCCACTACGGCTTGGAGCTTAGTTCCCCAGAAACCCGAAGGGCACTGGATACGGAGAAAACCTGTGCGGCGCCCCTTCCACGAAAGCCCAAAACACATTAAAAATAACATGAATATTGCCCGCACCTTGATCCCCGCAAGTCCGTTGGAGAGGGAAAGAGACGGACTCGCGTCCTGGGCGCCGTACTGGCTAACGAACATCTGCAGGGAGCCCACGTCGTGCCGATTCGGGTCGTAGACACCCCCCAAATTGGTGTCGCAATAACTACCCGCTGGGCCCTTCTGGTGGGCCAGTGTATTGGTGCCCGCCCCTGATCCTCCTCCTTCCCCTCCTCCTCCTCCTGCTCCTCCTCCTCCTCCTCCTCCTCCTCCTCCTCCTCCTCCTCCTATTCCTCCTTCTCCTCCTCTTCCTCCTCTTCCTCCTCCTCCTCATCCTCCTCATCCTCCTCCTCCTCCTCCTCATCATCATCATCCCCAGTCACAGCGGGCCGCTGGCGGCTGTCATCGAGACGCACATTTCGTGACCTCGCCTTAGCGCCGCGCACATTCGTTTTCATGTTCAAACATTGCAAGAGCTTCATGGGTGGAGGAAGGGCAATGTTCAGAATGTGGCTCTCGCCTCAGCGCCGCGCACATTCTCGCTGAAAGTTCGCAAGAGATTCACGGATGGAGGGCGGGCCGTTTTCAAGATGTGGTTTTCGCCTCAGCGCCGCACACATTCGTCCTAAAAGTTTGCAGAAGCGTCACATCTGGAGGGCGGTACCTTTTCAAAGTGTGGCTCTCGCCCTAGCGCCGCGAACATTCGTCTTAAGAGTTGACAGCTGTTCCAAAGGAGTCTTATGGCTGTTTCGCACGATGGAGGACTGTCAGGGCGCCACAGTAACGTTGATTCGCAGCGTTGAAGACCCAGGAAGGGCAATTTGGCACGATTCAGGATCGTCCAGGCGCAACAACAACAACAACAACAACAACAACAACAACCACAACAACTTCAACAACAACGTTGATTCGCGGTGTTGAAATCCCAAGAATGGTGTTTTGGCACGGTTCCGGATTTTCGAACGGTTGTCTTCCAAAGGGGCACCGCCCTGAGTGAAAATCAACCCGTAGGGACCTATGCAAAAGGAATTTGGAGGGAGAGGCTCTGGTGCAACATCGTTGCAAAGCTTTCTGGCTACACTGGTCTTCCTCTTTCTCCTCTCTCTCTCTCTCTCTCTCCTTCTCCTCTCTCCTCCTCCTCGTCCTCCTCCTCCTCCTCTCTCCTCCTCCTCCTCCTCCTCCTCCTCCTCCTCCTCCTCCTCCTCCTCCTCCTCCTACTCCTCTTCCTCCTCCTCTTCCTCCTCCTCATCCTCCTCCTCCACCTCCTCCTCCTCCTCCTCCTCCCCCTTTCCATGCCATCCCTTTCCATTCTGAATCACTCCTCCCTGTCACACCCCCAGGCGTGTCGGTAGAGCGGGCTGGGCATTTCGCCCGAGACTTCCTCACCAGTTGTGACCCCAAGGCTTGAAACGTGCAAGTACTTCACGGATGGAGGGCAGACCGTTTGCAAAAGATGGTTTTCGCCTCAGCGCCGCGCGCATTCAGTTTGAAAATTTGCAAGACGCTTCACGGCTGGAGGGGGAACTATTTTCAAAATGCGTCTCTCGATTAGCACCGCGCACACTCGTCTCAAAAATATGCAACAGTTTCACGGATGGAAGGCGGGTCGTTTTCAAACTGTGGCACTCGCCCTACGGCCGCGCTTATTCGTGTTAACTTTCAGAACTCGCAGCAGTGTGACTGATGACGGGCGGTTCAAATCATAATCTGGCACTCGCCTGAGCACCGTGCTCATTCGTTTTGAAAATTTGCGAGAGTTTCAAGCATTCGTATGGTCGAAGTCCCAAGAACGGTGTTCTGACAAGATTTCGGATTGTCAGAACGCAGGAGTCATGTTGGTTCGCGGTGTCGAAATCCCAGGAACGGTTTTCTGGCAGGCTTTAGGGTTGTCAAGACGCAACAATCACGTTGGCTCGCGACGATGAAGTCCCAAGAAAGACGTCTTGACACGATTGAGGACTCTCAGACGTTGATTCCCTACCTAGGCTCTGCCTAGAAGGGTTCTTACTCTCTTAGCTTAAAGGGGCCAGGCAGTGCAAAGCGCCCCGGGCGGTTCCCCCAGTCCCCTGGGAGCGGTTCCCCCCAGTCCCCTGGGAGCTTTAGCTTTAGCTTTAGCTTTAGCTTTAGCTTAGCTTTAGCTTAGCTGTAGCTTAGCTTTAGCTTAGCGTTTCGCTTAGCTTTTCGCTTAGCTTGAGTTTAGCTGTAGCTTAGCTGTAGCTTAGCTTTAGCTTAGCTTTAGCTTAGCTTTAGCTTAGCGTTAGCTTAGCTTTAGCTTTGCTTTAGCTTAGCTTTAGCTTAGCTTTAGCTTAGCTTTAGCTTAGCTGTAGCTTAGTTTTAGCTTAGCTGATGCTCAGTTTTAGTTTAGCTGTTGCTCAGCTTTAGCTTAGCTGTAGCTTAGCTTTAGCTTAGTTTTAGCTTAGCTTTAGCTTAGCTTTAGCTTAGCTGTGGCTTAGCTTTAGCTTAGCTTTAGCTTAGCTTTAGCTTAGCTTTAGCTTAGCTTTAGCTTAGCGTTACTGTTACTACTAATGCTGCTTTCCTAGGGGTTCCAACTCCTAGGTAGGGTCGCACTGGGATAATTTTCCAAGGGAGCATCTCCCGGGACGAAGATGAATTATTGTAGGCCCCATGTGGCATGGGAGACTTGGGGGGGTGTTGATTCCAACATCGCTGACGCATCTTAGATGTTCACAGGTCCCCCTCTTCCTCTCTCTCCTCCTCCTGTCCGTCCTCTTCCTCCACCTTCTCCTCCTCCATCCTCCCTGTCGCACCCCAAACGTGTCACTATGGCGGGACGAGCGTTTCGCTTGAGACTTCCTCACCACTTACGATCCTCAAACCTAAAATGTGTAACAGCTTCACGGCTTGAGGGCGGGTCGTTTTCAAAATGTGGCTCTCGCCTCAAGGCCGCGCCCGTTCGTGCTTTTTTAAAGAAAAAACTTGTCGGATAGAGGGCGGTACCGTTTCAATATGTGGATTTCGCTCCTGCGTCACGCACATTCGTCGTAAAAGTTTGCAACCGTTTCATGGATTCGGATGGTTGACATCCCTGGACAGACGTTCTGGCACGGTGGAGGACAATCATGGCCCAACAACTCTACGCATTCGCGGTGCTGCAATCACAAGAAGGGCGTTTTGGCACGATTCTGAACCGTCAGGATACAACCGTAAATTTAATTCGCGGCGTTGAAATACCAAGAATGGTGCTCTGGCACGGTATAGGATTTCAACACGGTTGTCTTCCAACGGGGCATTTCCCTAGTTGAAAGTAAATCATCGTAGGGACCTGCGCAGAGAAACAACCTGGAGAAAGGATGTATTGCAACATCGTTGATGAGTCTTGGGTTTATACTGTTCCACCTCCTCCTCCTCCACCTCCTCCTCCACCTCCTCCTCCTCCTCGTCCTCGTCCTCCTCCTCGTCCTCCTCCTCCTCCTCATCCTCCTCCTCCTCTTTCTCCTCCTCCTCGACCCTCCCACCCACCCTGCCTCTCCCCTTCCCGCCCTCCCCCTCCTTGGTAATTTAACAGAACAGCCGTGGCGAAAATAGACAACTGTTTTAATGTAAGCTGTCAGCGTCGGAAGTGCACACACCGCCTGACGGCGGTTATAATTATTGAGCCAAACGCAGGCAGATGCACAGCAGCATGGGGGACCATAATGAAACGCCCCCCCTCGTTCTGGTGTTCCAGGTCGGATAAGCCACGTGAGACTTTATATGAATTGAGCTGACTGCAAACGGTTGCGGCGAATGGGCAACAGTGGTTAGTGCACCCACAGCACAAAGCGCAGTGCGCGGTTGACAAGAACCAACTTAAACGTTGAGCATTGGGTACATGACAGAGCGGTTCAAACAGTGACTAGTAGTATGCCAGGATCTCCGCTCTATTGTAATTTGCTACACCACGTCTCTCAAAAACACGCGCTTGACATGATGCTGGTGGAAATGCGACAGACCTTAGAGAGGGAAGGGGTCGGAAATATTCGACGGATAGCTGTCACTCATAGCATCCTTGCCCCGATGGAGGCTGACTTCGGCCGTTTGCCCTTCCCTTCGCCCTTGCCCGACATCGATGCGCACGAATACATCCTCGCGGATACGTTTCCGAATCAACATGCAGTTCCGTGCGTCCGGCTCCACGATACGGTCGCCGTTCCAGGCTTCATATCCCCCTTCGCTGTCGTACCACGCACCGGTGGCGTCCTCACGGTTAGCAAAGAGCTTCGGGCTTCTTGAAGGCGGACTCATCGCTAATCCCGTTGAACCTTCCCAGTGCTTCCCAGTAGGTGAAAGCGGGATGTCTTACAAGGGTCGCAGCCCACCTCCAGTTACAATCTTTCAGCCTCTGATCGTACACCGCTCAAGACTCGTTAAGAGATCACAGGTGAAAGATCTGTGCCTGCCTTAGGAATCTCTCCCAGGAAAATGCCACGTTTAAGGGAATGCCCGTGAACCCATCCATGGCCCTTCTGGTTATATATATATATATATATATATATATATACCTGAACATACCCTCCATGCACATGGTTATGGACAACCTTGTGCGGTACCAGGTTAGTTTAGGTGCATCCACCAGCTCGGTCTCACATGCGTGAGACTTCCTGACGGTAGCGTCGGAATTATTGTAAAGACATCCGGGTCATCGCTATCGTCAATGAGCTCAAACGCCGTCTCACGGCTGAAAAAGCCGACGTGCAGAAACGCCCGTTTGAATAACGTCATGATCGTTATGGATCGCTGAGTAACCGTAGAACGCTTTGATGGCCACTATTGCAGCGCTTCCCAGCTCAAGGATGCCGAACCACATCGTGACCATCTTATTGCACTCTCGCTCCTGAAGCTCGGGCATGGTGTTGATGTAGACCTGGGGTATGTTACCAATGCTCGAATCGTATACCAAACGGGGGATCTGATTAGGCACCCTGGAGCCTGGGTGCCCATCCCGGTCTTCGGGAAGCACCCAATTATCATGCTGGTCCTTGCGGTGATCCGTCAACGCGTTACGCCACTCCAGTGGGCCTTCGGAGCAAGACTGGGGCCTCATGCAGTAAACACTGCCGTATAGTTTCTTGCATATGTCCCCGTAACTGGCGCGATCTTCGCTGGTGACGATATTGCCCAATTTGCCTTCCAGATTGCATGTTTCGTGATTGTTGTAGCCCCTGGTGCGGTCACCCCACTGCCGCGCTGGCAGCTGGGGCGCGCCCCGAGCCAATAAGGCGGCGGGAGCTCTGAGATGGACCACTGGGTGTGGCACTCCGTGAACTTCAGGATGAAACGGAGCTCAAAGACAGGGCCCCCTTCAGCTGCGCTCATGCCGGGTGAAACGGGGGCTAGCGGAGGCAGGTCGTCATGCAAGCGGCGACGCGGGACTGAGACGGCCGACGGCAAAGACCAGCCACCCAGGGCTACGTCGCTTTGGTCCGCGTAGCGCAGCACCCGGTCTGGAGCCGATTCCTGGACACGAATTCAGTGAGCGGAGCCGAACCGAGATCGACACCACTCTAGAGATAGCGGAGACAATCCTGCGAGCTGGCCACTGGGCGGGAGATGCCGCGCCCGAGGGGCTGTGCCCACGGCCAGTCGCAGCAGCGGGGACAGGGGCCCCAGCGCCAGTGGCAGCAGTACCCGCACAGGGCGCGGCCCGCGCGGGCCAGCGCGACGTTGAAGACCCGTCAGCCAGGGCAAGCCAGCCAGTCGTGGACGCCGCAGTCGATGCAAGGCCTCCAGACGCTGAGGCGGTCGCTGCTGAGAAGCGTGTCGACCGGCAGGACGGGCAAGGGCAAGGGGGGCGGAGTTCGCTGAGCAGCCTCATGCGTGCCACCACGGGCCCATCGCGTCCGACGTCTGCAATGGTGCTGGGGCAAAAAAACGGAAAAAGCGAAGAGTCGAGCCGGAACTTGAACCCAAATGGCTGTGGACATCCACACACACACACACACACACACACACGTACGCCGAATTGAGCGGACATGAAGAAGGCGCAGATCCTCCTTCTCCTCCTCCTTCTCCTTGTTCTAAGTATTATTCTTATTATTCGGATTATTATTAGTACTATTATTGATAGGTGTATTCTTCTTAGTCCGATTACTCGTAATACTATTAGTATTACTCGTCGTACTATTATTATCACAATTATTATGTTTATTATTGTTATTACGCATGGTTCGTATTATTCAGCATTCGTACTATTAGTATTAATACTGTTATTCAGAATAGTAATATTATTATTATGAGTCGTATTACTGTTCTTCTTCTCATTACTTTTACTTTTCTCAATATTATTATCAGCATTGTGATTATTATGAATGGTGTCGAGTATCCCTCTTATTCTTCGCATTAGTTTTATTATTCGTCTTAGCATTATTCTTATTATCATTAGTATTACTCCTCTTCTTCATCATCACCAGGTTCACCATTATCACCATCATCATCATCAGCAGCAGCAGCAGCATCGTCATCATCACCATCATCAGTATCAGCATCACCACCACCACCATCATCATACTCATCATCATCATCATCATCAGCGTCAGCATCGTCACCATCATCATCATCATCATCATCATCATCATCATCAGCAGCAGCAACAACAACTCCTCATCCTCATCGTCATCAACATCATCATCCTCTTCATCATCATCCTCATAATCATTATGTCGCTTCCCATGCGGGCGGCACCTGTCCGGCAGCTGCGAGCATGACTCGCGCCTTCGAGGACGACCGAACCGAACCGAACCTCCTCCTTCGCCTCCGCCCCGTCCTCCTCCTCCTCCTGCCTCCTCCTCCTCCTCCTCCTCCTCCTCCTCCTCCTCCTCCTCCTCCTCCTCCCTCCTCCTCCTCCTCCTCCTCCTCCTCCTCCTCCTCCTCCCCCCCCGCCTCCAACCCCCTCACCCCCTCCACCCCCCCCTCCTCCGCCCTTCCCTCCAACCCCCTCACCCCCTCCAATCCCCTCACCCACTCCAACTCTCTCCAACCTCCTCCCTCGCCTCCGCCCCCCCTCCCCCTCCACCCCCTCCACCTCCTCCACGCCCTCCCCCATCCGTCGGCGAGTCCGAGCGCGCGGGCGGCGGACCCCCGCCACCAGGCGCCCAGGATGCCACGCCTGCTTGTTCTCCTCGCCCAGTCTCTGGAAGGCCTTGACCTTCTGCACGAGCTGATCCTGCCGCGGCGGGCGGCGCCACCCCGTGGGGGAAGAGCCCTGGAGGGGGGGGCCTGGCCGCTGAAGCCGCTGCGCATTGGGCTGGCCGTCCCCCACCCCATCCTCGACCTCCTCCTCCTCCGTTGGAAGTTGGCAGGCCACCAGGGGAGGAGCCTCCCAGGAAGATGTGTCGGACAGCTGTGAGAGGCGGTACCGCTGTCTTCAAGTCTCGTCTCGCCTTACCGCTTTCTGTTTTAGGGGACCTCCCTCCCAGCGCTGGCCGAGGTCACGAGCCATCTGTTGCGCCAGGCGGGGGTTGTTTGCCGTTTGTGTGAGGGGAGGGCATCCCGACAGGTAAGCGTTCTGCCCTGCTGGAAGGTTGCCGCCCACCTCCTTTCAGCAAGAGAGGGATTGTCACATACATCGGTTTCTTACGCGCAGGCACCCATCAGACGCTCACCGACATAAACCTATATCGGGAAGCAGGCGCCTGCAAGTGTCAGACCCAGAGGTGCACTGGCTCCCTCCAGACTAAGAGCTTCTCTTCCTGATGTAGGCTCGCTCTCGTGCTCTCTCCCCGCCGTGATCCCGCGAGGTTGGGCGTTTTGGGGTGAGTACACCTCTGCCTCGCCGCCGACGGAACACAGCGTCTTGGGGCGGGCGGCCGAGCGAGCGCTGGGCCTGGGACCCGAGGGCCTGGGCCGGTCCACAGAGTGGCCCCATAGCGCGCTCCTTTCCGTCTGCTTTTATCCCTCCCACCCTCCCTGTCCCCGGTCGGCCCAGGCCATGCCCCATTCGGCTCGGGCGGGACGCCCATCGGAACGTCTCGGAACCCTCACGGGCACGGTAAACGCGTGGCGCCGAGTCCCGACCGCCTGTCCCTCCCCACTCTCCCGCATGCTGATCGTTCCATCCTCCTCCTGCGGCGCAATTTCTCGTGGGCCGCTTCCTCTGTGGCGTGAACCGTCCCATCCCACTTGTTCGTCCATCGTTTGAGCTCTGGCTGCGGGACAGTGTCGAGAGGTATGCGTTGCATGACCACGGGGGGTCCTGATAGCACAGGGGGGAAATCGCAAACCAAGTCACAAACGACAAACGGTATCACGATAGCTAGCCGTGTGAGCAGAGCAAAGACTGGCGGAATACATATAGTTGTGCGGCTGTGGCGTCAGAGAATGGAGCCCCCTCAGCTGGGAGTGAATCACTCGGAGGCCTGGCGACTGCACCCAGACCGACCGACCATAAATTCAAGACTGGAGCATGGAAAGGTTCCAGGGCGTTGGCTACTGAGGGCTCGCTCGTCATGCTTCCTTCAGCTCCCAGGCGGTCTCTCTTGCTCGTCCCGCAGGGGGGTAACCCTGTCTAGAGACCCTGAACAAACTGCTGGCCGAGGGTTTTCTTGGAAGCGAGCCAAGGGGGGAGCCGTAGTATTGCTGAGGTAGACGGAAAAGAACTGCTCCTGACCTTTCTGCAAAAAAACAAAAACAAAAAACACAATAAAAAACGAATGCCAGCCCTGCGCTCTCCAACGCAGCAATCCGGCTCTGCCAAAAAACATGGCTCCAAAATTCGATACGTGCATAAACCGTAAGCAGCATATGCCATAGGTTGCGGCATGGGTAACGCCCTGGATTGCATCTACCTTCTATGGGTTGGGCCATAGATGATTGTGGGTCGAGGGTTCACAGCCCTGCCCCCCAGATGGAAAGGGTCCCAAAGCCCCGCGGGCCCCGCCCAAAATGGGATGGGGGACAACGACGACGACGACGACGACGACGACGGCGACGACTGATGACGACGACGACGACGACGACCACTACGACGACGACGACGACGACGACGACGAAAACGACGACGACGACAAAAACGACGACGACGACGACGACGGAAGCCGACCACGACGATGACGATGACGATGATGGCGGCGGCGGTGGCAGCGACAGCGACGACGACGACGACGACGACGACGATGACGACAACGACAACGACGACGACGACGACGACGACGACGACGACGACGACGACGGAGGCGGCGGCGGCGGCGGCGGCGGCGGCGACGACGACGACGACGACGACGACGGCGTTCATGACCCGTCCGGAGAGCGAAACCGCCCAGCAAAGGGCCGAAGATGAGCCCTGGACCCCCCGGGCCAAAGCGGGTCGCCTGGGGGGAGCCCGTGTGTCATGGTGTGCCAGCGGGGGGGCCCAACACTCCGACATATTACATATCATGACGGTGTCTCAGCGGCACCTATGCAACAAATTGCGCCATAGGCTGAATCAGAACATTCCGCGATCTACCAATCCCGTTGCCTCGGTGCGCGCACAATTGCGCCATAGGTTGCGCCATAGGTTTCTGCAAGCACCCTACAATCAATCAAATCGCCCCTTGCCTCGATGGGCGCACAACTGCACCATAGGTTGCGCTATAGATTGCATCCGTGGCCTCAGTGGGTATACCATTGCGCCATGGGTAACGCTCCAGGTTGCGCCAGGCACCCCGCCACCTACCAAATCGTGCATTGCCTTATGGGTGCACCATTGTGCCATATGCTTGGCCGTAGGTTGCACCAGGTACCCCGCAATCTACCAAATCGTCTGTTACCTCAGTGGGTGCCATACTAATCCGCTGCTAGTGTTTGCGACCATTCGGCAACGGTGCACATGTGAATCGAGGTGCGCGGCGTGAGCCCATCCTCAGGCGATGTTGCGTCGAAGCAAAGTGTCACTGAGCAAAGAAACCGCTCTCAGTCGTGATAAAACGGCACGGAGTGAGTTTCAGAGGACGTGGAGCAAGCTATTCCTGCAGCAAGGACAAGCGGGATGACTTCACCCCTGACAGTGCAGTAGGTCTTTCAGTAAGAAAACGTGCGGAATAATTGTTAGTTACACGGCAGTGAACACATTATATCTAAACGGTACCTGGCGCCGCCGACGTACCCAATGTTGTAGGATCACGCGCGGGTGAAGGGCTCGCACGCCCACTTGGGTGGTCAAAACTTTGGGAAAGCCATTGTAGTGCGCCATTGGTTGCGCTATGGCTTGCGACTTTATTTGCTGCATTCGAATAGCAAAAAACACCGCTTCCACTTCAATTCCTTTCCCTGCGTTCGCGTACTCGTGGTTCAAGGAGAAAGGCCAGTGCTGTTATTGCCACTGTGATTACCCCCAACTCGCCATCCTCGGCATCGTTGTCATCATCCTGGCTGTACACCGATCGGTATTGTCGCTAGCATCTCCGTCGCCATATCACGACTGCCAACTTCCTCGTCACCCTCCGACGGAGTCCTTCATCGGATCTCCTGACATGGCGCCCATGCCAGGGCCCTTCTTCACAGGTGGGCCCATGCCCATGCCGCCCATGCTGCTCATGCTGCCCATGCTGCCCATGCCAACCATACTACCCATGCCGCCCATGCTGCCCATGCCCATGCCACCGCCGGGGGGCGAAACTGAAAGAATCTTGTTTCTTCCAGGAGAGGACACAGGCGGCAGAGAGTGCGCTCCAATGAATTCGCCGGCCCAGAGAGCCAAAGGCGTGCTGGAATCTCCAGCACGAAGTTCAGAGTCTTCGAGTATATGACATCTGTATATATACAGTCATTCCTGGTTCGAACACTCTTATATCGCCAGACACACACACACACACACACACACACACACACACACACACGCGCGCGCGCGCGCGCGCACGCACGCACGCACGCACGCACGCACGCACGCACGCACGCACGCACGCACGCACGCACACACACACACACACACACACACACACACACACACACACACCGTACATAAATTCCCCCCTAAGCGCTCCCATGCCCGCCAGATATTCGAAATTTGCTTTCCAGAGGCCACTCCAGGCCTTCTGCGACCGCCTGGGTGAGCTCCCCAAGAGGCCGCCAAGACGGCCCAGGAGGGCCCAGAATCGCCGGACGATCCGTCCAGCCTGACCAGGCGGCCCCAAGAAGGCCCAAGACGCCTGCAAGAAGCCCCAAGAGAGCCCCAAAAGCCTTCCCACGAGGGCCCCGAGAGGCCAAAATCACGGATATTTCTTCGGGCGTTCAGTGTTTTTGGTGGTTCTCGCCTTTTCGACTTTCAGACGCTCCAAGACAGCCCAAGAGGCTTCCAAGACCGCCCCAGGACGGCCCAAGAAGCCCCCAAGACCGCCCCAAGACAGCCCAACAGACGCCCAACAGACGCCCAAAACGACCCACAAGGGCCCAAGACGGCCCCGAGAGGGGCTCAAGAGGGGGAACACGAACCGAAGATTTGACTACTCTGCCTTAAGAGGCCCCCATGAGGCCCCACGAAGCCCCCGAGAGGCCCCTAGAGGCACCAATAGACCCCCAAGAGGCCAAATCGGCCCCCAAGAGGCCCAAAAAAGACCCCAAGATGTTCCAAAACGGCGCCCACATCGAGGTTGGGGGCGGATGGGTGGCGATGGCTTCGGGTGGAAGCGTCGCAGACTGGACGCGGGATTCGTTGACTTATCAACGATCGGTCCAAAAGCCTTACGAGCCCCACGGGCGCTCTGACCCCCATGAGCCATATGAGCCCGCATGCCCGAGCCTCATGAGCCCTACGAGCTCTATGAGCCCTGCGAACCCTACGATGCCATACGAGCCCCTCTGAGCCCAGCGAGGCCTCTGAGCCCTGCAAGCCCTATGACCCCCGCGAGTCAAATGAGCTGCATGAGCCCTACGAGCCCTATAAGCCATACAAGCCCTACAAGAACTATGGCCCCCATAAACCCCATGAAGCCTGCGAAACATGTGAGCCGCATGAACCCCACAAGCCCTCCTGTGAGCCCTGCAAGCCCTATGGGCCCTACGGGCCCCCTGAGCCCTGCGAGGTCCCCTGAGCCCTACGAGTCCTATGACCTCCACGAGCCCTGTCAGCCCCATGAGTCCCACGAACCCTGTGAGCCCTACAAGCCCCACAAGAACTATGGTCGTCGTGAGGCCTATGAGCCCTACGATCCCTGTGGAACACATCGAGCCCCACACGTCCTGTGAGCCCTGCGAGCCCTGTGACCATATGAGCCGTACGCGCCAGAAACCCCATGAGCCATGCGATTATTATGAGCCCCATGAGCACCGTGAGCCCCCATGAGTCCCAGTGGCACCTACAAGCCCTGCAAGCCCTGTGACCCACATGATCCCTATGAGCCCTATGAGCGATAAGCGCCCACGGCCCCATGAGCCCCGTGATCCCTATGAGCCATATGAGCCCCATGAGCCCTATGAGCCACATGCGCCCACGGCCCCATGAGCCCCACAAGCCGCATGGGCATATGCGCCCATAGCCCCAAAAGTCCTATAAGCCAGAAGACCCCCACGATGAGGCATGCAAGCCTGGGATGCCCTACGAGCCATATGCGCCCAAAGCCCCATGAGCCCTGTGGGCCCTATGAGCCCTATGACCCATGTGCGCCGAAGACCTCCCGAGCCATGTGAGCCTCACGAGCCCGCGACTCCCCAGAGTCCTGTGCGCCGCATGACTTACTCGGACGCTTGAGAGCCGCACAGGCCATACGAGCCTTGTGCACCTTATGAGCCCTATGAGCTCCATGAGATCCAATGGTCCATGTGACACCTGCGAGCTTGATAAGCCGTATGACCCCCATGGACCTTATGGTGCCTATGAGCCCTCCGCATTACACATACTCAGCCACACAGGTCTTCTGACAGCCCTGCGAGCTCCACGGGCGGTCTGACCACCATGAGCCCTACGAGCCCTACGTGCCCATGAGCCACATGAGCCCTATGAGCCCTGCAAGCCCGCCCTATACGACCACCCTGCGGGTGATAAGGAGGTTGGGGGGGAGGGGGGTCAGCAATGGGCAACGGTGGTGATTGTTGCGTTGCCGCTCGCTCTTGGGACCATCAATCCCACTATCGATCTCACTCGATCGATCTCACTATCGATCTCACTCGATCGATTTCACTGTCGATCTCACTCTGGATCTCGCTATCGATCCCACTATCGATCTCCCTATCGATATCACTCGATCTCACAATCGGTATCACTATTCATCTCACTATCGATCTCACTATCGATCTCACGATCGATCTCACTATCGATCTCACTATCAATCTCACAATCGATCTCACAATCGAGTTCGTCATCGGTCTCACTACCGTTTTCGCACCAGCGGGACACCGGGACACCGGCGGGACACTGGCGGGACACCGGCGGGACACCGCGAGCCACCGCTTGCCAGAAGGAGAATCATTTGGTCCGGCCGGGACCCAGCCACAAGCGGGACACCGGCGGGACACCGGCGGGACACCGCGGGCCACCGCTTGCCGGAGGGAGAATCATTTGGTCCGGCCGCGCAGCAGCCACAGGAGACTTTCCTCTCGCCCGCTTACGCAGCTTCCTCTCGCCCGCACGCACGGCACGCACGAACACGAAACCAAAACCGATTTCCTGGTGGGGGGCTCTCCGTTCCACTTCGATCTCACCCCCCAACCTCCGATAATACCCTACGAGCCCCCTGAGCCCTGCGAAGCCACTTAGCCCTGCGAGCCTTGCGACCCCCGCGAGCCCCACAAGCCCCATGAGCCCTACAAGCCCTGCAAGAACTATGGCCTCCATGAGCCCTACGAGCCGCCCTACGAACCCTGTGAGCCGCATGAGCCCCACAAGCCCTGTGAGCCCCGTGATCCCTACGACCCATATGAGCCCTGCAAGCCATACGAGCCCTATGAGCCATACGCGCCCATAGTTTCATGAGGCGCATGAGCCCTCTGAGCCATATACGTCCACAGCCCCCATGAGTCCTATGAGCCCTCACGATGAGCACTATGAGCCCTCTGAGCAATATGTGGCCAACGGCCCGTGAGCCTTCTGAGCCGTATGAGCCCTGGGAGCCAAATGCGCGCGAATTTCCCCTGGGGGACCCGCCGTGACCGCATCGAGAAAGGTATGGCGACTAAAAGCGTGGCAACAATAGGCACGGCTAATCGCGATAGCTTCGGGACTAAGATGTATGCCAGGGCAGCAGAGCAGTGTTGCGATGTGCTCGAAGTGCCGCAACGAACATGTCCACACAACCAGATGGGGAGCCACTGCTGCTGAGGCCGAAGGTCGATCCCCGCCCACGGTTGCAGCCTCTGCGTCTCTCACTCTAGATCTCTAGATGGGAGCAAGGGGATTGCAGTGATCCGAAGGAAGTGCAGGATGGGCGACGAGCGCACGCGAGGGCCCTGCACGCATGGCCACAGGGAGAGCAAGCGACCAGGGACCCCCGAGGACACCAGACAGCAGGACGGGGCGAGGACGCAACGGCCCCGGGGCACACGTGTGCGACGGCGGCCAGCCCGCGTGGGCCGTTTTGGGGCCGTCTCGGGGGCCACCTGTGCCACATTGGGGGGCCCAGGGGGCCTCTCGGGGCCGTTGGGAAAACCACGGGAGCAGATGTGCTAGACTTGCCATCGCTCAGACGTCCCTTCCCCGTTCGTGCTTCTGTTTCGCACGTGCATGGCTCTTCGCAAGGTGGCCCTCGCCGGGAGACATGCACACCTCCGAGCGATGCCGAGTTGAAGTGCACCTGTTCCTGAGGGAACGGGACGACCGTTGCCTTTGGGGTGTCCTGTTGGACGTGCCCCTGCCACAGGGCGGTCGCGGTGGGCGAGTGCGGCGAAGCCTCGAGGAGCGAGGGGAGAAAGGCTGGCGGGGAGTGGCGGCGGCCCGGGGCGGCGGGAGCGGACGGCAAGACTCGGGGAAACCTCTGAGACACACCCAGCGTGGGAGCAGGAAACGCATCGAGGATCGAGGATCGAGAATGATCGAGGATCCTCGATCCCCCCCGAGGAGGATGGAGGAGGATCGAGGAACGAGGATCGATGGCAGACATTTGGCTCGAGCTCAATCGTACTTGTCGTTTTCATATTGTTCTCGCTCTTCCTCGGTCTGTCCTCGTTCCGCCCCCTGCTGCGAAACGAAGCCGAAACGAAAACGGTCCACGAGATCGCCAGAACACCGCTTAGCTCGAGCCCTGCGCCAGATTTGGGAACCCCTTGCGAGGCGAGGATTCATCCATATCCACCGCCTGGGAACCGACGTCCTGGTGCCCCAGCGGGCGGTGGATGTGGATATAGTTTGGCCCCCAGGGGCCCGAACATGTCCATATCCACCGCCTGCTGAGGCCCCCGAAAATTGATCCTCCAGGCGGTGATCATGTATAAACTCCCACCTCGAAACCCTGAGACACACCCAGTGCGGGAGCAGGGAGCACATCCTGTGGAGACTGCCCACATCCCGCTGGCTGGACCCCTGACGAGCGGGCAGACCGAGGCAGACAGGCGGGCACAGACAGGCAGGCACGGAGGGACGCAGACACAGACAGGCACACCTTGTTTTCCCACGCCGACCGCGGTTGCAGCGAGAGCCACCAGGGCATGGCAAGGTGTGATATGGATTGGGCCGAGGCACGACGCCAAAGAGGCAGGTGCGGTGCAACAGGAGGCGCAGCACCGTGTCGGCAGCTCGATGACCCAGCCCAAGATGCCAGCAGCAACCATAAGCTGCGATCACGACTCGCCTCCCAAGCCTCACTGCGCTGCCAGCGGCCCCGTCCGCCTGCGCCACGAGACTCGCGCCACTCCACCTTCGCCATCGCAGCCGCGATCTGGGCTGGCGGCCGCAAGGCACGTGGAGGCGCCGACGAGCCCAGCACGCCCCGGCTCGGCTACACGCGAGAGCGACCCTGGGTAAGAGTGACCTCTGGTGCGCGGCTTTTGGGGGGGCCGCGCGGGGGACCAACACACAAGCGCGCAAGACGCTACTGTCGCATCGCGCTCGGCGATCGGAGGACCCCAGTTTGCCCGCACCAAAGGCCACTCCGGCGAAGGGTCACTCTCACGTGTAGCCGACCAACTCGTCCATGGCAACCGTCACCCAGGAGGAGCCGAGTCCCGGGGCTCTGGCCCGAAAACCAGGGCACTGCCGCCTGCTGGCCGCGGTGTCGGAGCGAGCACAGGGACGAGCAGAGACAGGCGAGGAGAGCTAAAGTCGGGACCTCCCTGGGCCATCTTGCCTATGAAGTCGAAGAAGCCCTCCAGGAAGCTGGGCGCCGCCATTGATCCGACCCCAGGGAGAGCTCTTTGCCTGCAATCATCGCTGGCTCCTCCCGAGATACGGCGCGTGCAAAAGCGTACACGCAATTACTATCCAGCCCATCCCCCACCCCCCGAACACGAATGTTCCTCATGTTGACTGGTGATCCTTGATAGCGGTTCGCTGTAGGTTTCTCATCATATGGAAAAGGATCCAGAATCTCTCCCTGGGAGGTCACGGCGGCTGTGGTCACGCTGCTGGCACCCTGCTGCCACTATCGGGCGGTCATGTCAACATCAGTCCAAAATCATTCCAAAACATTTCGCGCGTCAAGTTGTGCATGTAGAGACTATCCAACACATGCTTCCTGGACACATAAGCATATGTTCCGATAGCAGGAGCCTCTCAGGAGCGTCTCACGACCCTCCCAGGAGCCTCCCAATACCCTTTCAAGCAGCATCTCCAAGTGCCTCTCGGGACCCTCGCGGGAGCCTATCATGACCCTCCGAGGACCGTCTCGTAACCTTCTCAAGACACTCCTAGGACTCCCTATGAAGACCCTTTCAGGACCCTCTCGGCATCATCTCGGGACCCTCTCGGGAGCATTTCAGGAATCTCTCAAGGGCCTCCCAATAGCTTCTCAAGAGCCTCTCGGGAGCCCTCTAAGCTCCGTCACCCCATGGTCCATCACACCGCTAGATAAAGCTTCTCGTACAGTGGCTCAAGCGGCAAAAACCAAAAAACTCATCATCGCTTCGTCGTTCCAGGGTCCATCATACCGCTATGCGGGCGCTCTACTGGGACAATGCTATTTTTCACATGTTCCATGAACGGCGACTGCTTTAAGGGTTCGTCAAATCATTTAAATCTACGCCGAGGTAACCGCCCGCTTTGGTCGCCCGCGGGGTGTCCTGAGCAGCAGATACTGCAGCCCATAAAAAGAAGACTCGTCCGGGCAGTGGTGATTCGTTGATCCGCAGGGTGCATGCCACGACCTATGGCGGAAACTGTAGCACAGCATGTGAAAGGAAGACTCGTCCAGGACATCGCGAGTTGGCCGTGCGGAGGAGTGCCTAGGGCGAGAATTATGTCATGATGCGACTTGCCCAGGATACGTTCCAGGAGCTCCACAGAGTATCTGGCGGCCCTCGTTCCTGGAGCCCGTGCGGAGCAATAGGAACTCTTGGAAAACCGAAATACATGGGAAATACTGGAACGCACCATGATCTTGACTCCTTGCTGCTCTTGGCGTCCGCCGCAACTCCTGGTGCAACCTTATGGACCTGGACGACAGACCCGCCCAAGAGATCGCGGTTTGACTGGCCACGGGGCCACTGCCAACACCTTCGGTCCAATCTGAGGCGCAGCAGATAGAAGACAGCCTGACGAGGAGGAGGAGGAGGAGGAGGAAGAGGAGGAGGCCGAAGAGGAGGAGGAGGTAGTTGCAGCACTGTTTTCCATCTGGTAGCCCCTAGAATGTTTGCCGCAACCGGTGACCCACGGCACACCCTGTGCACGAAGACTCGCCCTGGAAACCCTGCCTTCGTCGTCCGCGAGGTGCCCGCCGAAACCTATGATGCCGCATTACGTGGTGCGAAGCTATGGAAGAGAATCTCGCCCAAGAATTCGCGATTTGGCCGCCCGCGGGATCTCTACCCAAGGAACGCTGGCCACGGGGAACCTCGACCACGCAGGAAATCACTACGTGGTTGCGTTTCGGGGCATTTTCCATGACCTGTGGCGCGGCCTGTAACAGATGCTGCATAAAGGCCCCTCGGCGGGGTGGAACGGTGGCCGTTTGTCTAGGGATGCGGTGCCTCCCAGCCTGTTCGCGATGCCTGGCGGCTCTGGAGGCGCCGCCAGGGGGGCACAGCGCAGGTCCAAGAGATTCGCGTGCTATGCCGTTTTTTCTTCCTCGAAGGTCAGCATGTGTATGCACATGAATACCTACCAAACCCCCACCCAACCCGAAGTCGCCGTTGGGCGTGTCGATTTCCAGAGGGGCAGATTCCAGAACACCCTGAGAAAACACCATGGAACTCGTACACTCCCCAACCCATAAAAATCGGGGGTCTGAAGCCTTCGGATTGGGTTGGAGTGCTTTGGCAAGTAGTGAGGGGCAACGATAGGGGGGGACTGGCATAGGGAGGGGCACCTCGACCTGGAATCGGCGATACATCGCCGGTAGATCGACGATGGGCCTCTGGTGGCGAATCCGCACGTTCCTGGGAAGGCCGGGGCCATCGCGCCCGCATCGGCGATCAGTGGGCGATTGGGGGTCGATGCATCCCCCCCCGTGCCTATCCCCGGGTGGTGTTCGGGCCAGAACTCAGGCCTTCGGCGGCCTTTCGGGACGATTCCGCCACCGCCAAGAACGCTCTCGACGAGGCGCAGCTGATAGAGACCACCCCAGGCTTCGAAAGACTCCGAGAACCTTGTTTCGGCGGCGCGCAGAGGGGGGTAGGGGGAGGCTTCTTAGAAGGCACGGGCCTTACATCTACAGACAAGGCCCCCCGCCTTCTAAGAAGGGGTGCTTCTAAGAAGCCTTCCCCCCCTCCCCCTACCCCCTCTGCACGTGGCTGGCTGTTCCCCCCTATCGCTGCCCCTGACGTTGTTTGTGCTCCCCGAGAGGCGCGGCAGCACCCGCGCGTCCGGCGGCAGCGACTCGTCCCCACCAATCTTTGCCCCTGAAGCAGTGAGCTCACGCTCTGCTCGGCGGCGAGCGAGGGGGGGGAGCGAGAAGGAGAAGGCTTCCTCGAAGGCGGCGGGACTTCTCAGAAGCCCTCGCGCCTTCTGAGAAGTTTTCTGTGCATTCGGGAAAGGCTCAGAAAAGCTCTCAGAAGGCCGGGGGGGCTTCCGACCCCTTCTCACTTCCCCCCCGGGCTCGCTGCCGATCTGAGGGCGCCGAGGTTCGGCCCCGTTTTCCGGCGCGGCGGCCGAGGAGCGCCGCTCCTGGCGTCCCGCTTGGCGGGGTCAAAGTGCGGCTTCCCATCCAGGAGGTTCTGGGTGCAGTACTGCTCCCACGTCCTCTTCCACTCCTGCGACCTAAGGGGGGCGAGAGGCCCAGAGGGAGGAGGAGGAGGAGGAGGCGGAGGAGGAGGAGGAGGATTACCAGGTTTACCGCCATCGCAGGTGCAATACAATACTGACTACTCTACTCCAGCTTTTGGGTGCAAACTGCGAAAGAACCTGTCAAGGTTCTCGCGGCGCGCCTTCGTCAGGGGTTGGGGGAGGAGGAGGAGGAGGAGGAGGAGGAGGAGGAGGAGGAGGAGGAGGAGGAGGAGGAGGAGAAGGAGGAGGAGGAGGGAGGCCCTTGAGATCCCGGCGCGTCGCACTCTTTGCTCCCACGGGCGATGCTGCCCTGCGTCGGGCCCTGGGGACCCTCACGGGTCGACCTGGCCAAGACGATGATGCAGCAAGATGGATGGAATCCGGGGCTCCGGTCGAGTTCCCCTGCCATGTTGCAATTTCCCCTGCAACCTCGGGCGAGAGGCGGGGGAAAAGAAAACAGTGACCATGTCCAAGACTGGACGCGAAAACATCGGTGAAGACTTTGTCATACGCGGAAACGTCGGTGTTGATTCTGTCATCGTCCACCGTCAGCTTCAATTCGTGCCTCGTCCTCGCAAATCGGCGACGGCTGGCATAGACCATGGCCAAGGTCGACGCCAACAAGAGCCTCGCGACGTCTTGGCCATGGTCAGCGTGGTTCTTCCCTCGAGGAAGGCTGGGAGGGGATGGACCTGGCGGAAGCGAGGGACAGGAGAGGGAGGGGTGCAGGCGGCGAGCGGCGGAGAGGTGGGTGGGGGGGAAAGGTCTGAAGACAGGGTGGGGGCGGAGGAGGGGGCGAGGGGGAGGACAAGAAGGGAGCAGGGGAGAGGGGGAGAGGCAGCGGGAGGGCCATGGGGAGGGGGCGGGGAGGAGTGGGAGGGGAGAAAGGAGGGCAATCAAGTGGGAGGAGGGGTAGAGGAAGGGATGGGGGGAGGTGAGAAGAAAGGAGGAGGGGTAGACAGGGAACCACACTCTTTCAATATGCCCTCGCTCATTCCTTTGCCGGCTATCGTCGCACGCCGCATCTCATCTGCCACACCATTGCGATTGTCTCGATTCTCCGGGTCCGTTTGCAGAACTAGAGTGGGCAAGTTCATTACCAACCTCGACAGCATGCATCACCGCCGCTGTCCAACATACTGCCATACTACCTACTACCCACATACCGAGACAGGAGGTAGAACGCAGCAGAAAGACCCGGCGCATCAAGGAGATGGGGAGGACGAGAAGCAAAACGATGCAACACCGAGTACGAGAATTACGGTGATGCCCAAGAGTGCAAGCGAGGCTAGATTATAGATGGTGAATAACAGCATTAAAAACGTTAGGAAAGGATGAGGCAGTGCGCGTGGGTTCAAATAGAAGCGGTAAAGGGTGACTTCTTCTGCCCCATCTTGATCATCATCACGAGCTGCTGAGTCTCCTTTGCAGCAAGTTCTAGAGCACGCTAAGAGAACCAAGCCGCTCCATGAGCAGATTGCCGTCCGTCGCCGACAGTCTTATTCCCAACCGTGCCTTTTGCTAGTGCTGTCACTCGGCCATACGAACTCTCACAACAGTTCCTTCCGTCTCACTCTGAGCGACACCAGAAGGGCCAGTCAAGGCACACCCTGCCCCATCGGATCGAGGCGAGGGGACCGCAGCAGTGCCGGGAGGAGATGGGCAGCATTGCCTATGGTTCACCTTTGCGGGAGAAGGTTTCAGTCGGACCTAGGACAGAAGAACACCCTTCAAGAACATGAGGCCCTCCGCCGGCCAAAACATACAGAACATCTCGAAGTGTACCCTGCCCAGGATGCACAAGAATATCCAACAAACACGAAGAACACTTCGGTACCCTTCCCGAACCGACCTCGATCATATACCTCGGTCCGACTGTAGGGGGGACCCGCTCAGGGAGGGAAGCATCGAGCTGGAATCGGCGGTACATCGCCGATAGATCGGCGATAGGCTCCCGATGGCCCATCCGCGCGCTCCTGGGCGGGGTGGGCTATTGGGCCCTTTTCGAAGCCCACGACACTTGGGGGTCGGCGGAACGGCGTAAGCCTAGCGAGGCAGAGCGCATAGGAGCGCAAGCCCTGGAGGCCAGGGCGAAGGCGCGTGCACGGGGCGACGCCCAGCCCGAGGATGATCTTGGGTGACTTGTGGGGGGTGGGGTGCCCTGGCGAGGATTTCCGCCCGAGGTGGATCGCAGCCTCGGGCGGGGAAAAAAAGTTCTCCTTGGATGGGCACCCCTGTCCAATGTTCCTTCTATCTCCCCTTGACTCCTCACAGTGCCTCCTCCTCCCCCTCTCCTCCTCCTCCTCCTCCTCCTCCTCCTCCTCCTCCTCCTCCTCCTCCTCCTCCTCCTCCTCCTCCTCCTCCTCTCCTCCTCCTCCTCCTCCTCCTCCTCCTCCTCCTCCTCCTCCTCCTCCTCTCCTCCTCCTCCTCCTCCTCCTCCTCCTCCTCCTCCTCCTCCTCCTCCTCCTCCTCCTCCTCCTCCTCCTCCTCCTCCTCCTCCTCCTCCTCCTCCTCCTCCTCCTCCCTCCTCCTCCCTCCTCCTCCTCCTCCTCCCTCCTCCTCTCCTCCCTCCTCCCTCCTCCTCCTCCCTCCTCCCTCCTCCCTCCTCCCTCCTCCTCCTCCTCCTCCCTCCTCCCTCCTCCCTCCTCCTCCTCCTCCCTCCTCCCTCCTCCCTCCTCCCTCCTCCTCCTCCTCCTCCTCTCCTCCTCCTCCTCTCCCTCCCTCCTCCTCCTCCTCCTCCTCCTCCTCCCTCCTCCTCCCTCCTCCTCCTCCTCCTCCTCCTCCTCCTCCCTCCTCCTCCTCCTCCTCCTCCTCCTCCTCCTCCTCCTCCTCCTCCTCGTCCACAGAGTATCAGCGCTCATCTCCCCGAGGGTGAAGACAGCAGCCGCGCTCCTTGTTCTCCAGCCTGGCACCATTCTGGTACCTCGCCACCCACGGGACCGCGCACTCGGGAGGTGCACCCATGGGCGCGTCCCTGGGTCCACGAAGGGAGGAAGGGGGGAAGGGGAAGAGAGGGAGGAGAGAGAGGATAGGGACGTGGGGATGGAGAGAGGGAAGGGGGGGGAGGACGAGGAGGATGAGGAAAGAAAAGAGCAGGAGGAAGCGAGAGAGGGGGAGGGTGGGGGGGAGGGGGGGTAAGAGGACGACGGGGTGAACTTCACCCCGTCGTCGATCATCCTCCTGCTGATCAGAAGGGCGAGGAGAAGCCGAGGATGATCAGCAAGAGGGAATAAAAGAACAGGAAGAAGAGGAAGACTCGGAGGAAAACATCAAAAAGAGGAGCAGGAGCAGAAAGAGGAAGAGAAAAAGGAGGACGAGAAGGAGGTGGAGGGTGTGGCATGCTCTGGACACCCTGGAAACCAGGGCCGACTGGCTACGAAGGTTGCCAAGGCTAGGCATGACAGAAAAACATCCGACTCTGCCTGGCCAACTTCTGGGTTGGCTCAAGTTTGCCCTGCGGCTGTATAACTGATATGGTGGTACGTAGGCAGCGAGAACGTAGTGTCCACAACTGGGAAAGCCGTTTCGATGTCGTCTCGTGCCGTGCGTGACGCACGTGCGGGCAGAGCGAAGCTGCGCGAGCGGGAGAGAAGGGGGCGTCTCCTTACCTCGAGGGGCAACTTGAAAGGGGAGACCAGCTCAGGGGGAAACATCGGGGTTGAATCAGCGATACGCGCGATGCGCCCCCGATAGCGAATCCGGACGCTCCTGAGCGCGGTGGGGCTATCGGGCCCCTATCGGCGATGAATGGGCGATTGGGGGTTGCTGCATTGGTCCATTACCCTTTCCCGCCCAACGCTGCCCTGATAAGGTGAATCCGAGTATTGGTTAAATAGAAGAATACGCGGCCAAGAATGATGTATTTGAGCGGCCAGAAAATCGCTTGGGCCGCGATTCTCGACATCACGCGAATCATAGCAGGCAGCAAGGACTGAAACGCCGCAGCTCGATAACCGCCGCAACGGCTCTCGCTGCTGGCAGTGATGTCCCCCCCCCTGGGAGAGGATGGGGGGGGTATCCTCTCCCTTCACCATTCCGGGGCTGACATTACCTCCTTCCATAGAATAATCACTGACGGCACGGAGCAAGACTTTCGGATACCCTCGCGGATTCCCTGGGTCGGCGCTGGGCCTGGCCTCCCTGGCGCGCAAAGGCGGCGCCGGCGCCGGCGCCGGAGGCGGGACGCCGAGAAGGCAGGCTTGTGCAATTTGTCGTGCCAGACTCCTCCTCGTTGCCATGAATGGGAAGGCGAGAATACAACCCCACACCCAGTCCCGACCCCATCCACGAACTTGAATCGCCGGCTCGGGGATGAGAGAGCGGGGGTGGGTTTTGGCCTTCTGAATGCATGAGGCGGGGTCTGGCGGAAATGGGTCATGGACCCCCGAGGCCAGCTCTGCACCCCGAGGCGCTCCCAGACGGCCCCAGGGTCCGGAAGCGGATCCCGGAGGCCGGCACCTGCGAAGGAGAAGCTGCAGGACCCCTCTCCCTCGAGCCCCCTTCGGGCGTGCACTAGCCCGGCTCAGCGCGAGCCTGGCTCGGCCAATCTGGGAAAAACGGCGCTGCCATTTTTGAGGGGCTCCCCAGGCCCAGCTCGGCCAGGATGTAAGGCCATCTCCACGGCCGCGAGCGGCTCCAAAACCCTGGCTTGGAAGGATCCTGCAGGATCTGGGCGCTCTGGCTGCGCCCCGTTCGCGCCGAACCCCGCTACCTGCCCGCTGACCCTTGGAAGCGGCCAGGGGTTCTGCGTTGGATGGGCCCCGAGAAACTCGGCTCAAAGGGGGGGGGCGCGCTCAAAATCGGTCTCCGGACACCCCCCCAGGGTCACAAATGACCAGCGTTTTGAGCCAAGCGGAGGATCTCACCGCATCGCGCACGCATTGCCGGTGTGGCTCGATGTGGAGCCCGAATTTCTCCATGCCGACATCGCCGATGCATCGCCGACGTCGCCGATGCTTCGCCGATACATCGGCGATCCGGCGCGCTCCTCCGACCCCATCTGCTCCGACCCCATCTGCTCCGACCCCATCTGGGGGGCCTAGATCCAAGCTGACCCTGCCCTTCATGCTGATCCCGGCCCCTCACTGGGTGATGAAGCTCTGGAGAAACGACAACCGCCGGGCCCCACCGGCCAGGGCGTGCGGATGCGCGCAGGCCTGGGCAGCGCGCCGGGCACCGACCGCGCGGCGGTCGCCGGGGCCGCTCGCGAGAGCAGGGGGGCCGAAGAGGTCAGACCTACTCTCGGGGGCGGTGGAGGATTTTTTCTATGCAGGGGGAGGAGGAGGAGGACGTCCATCATCACATCGCCTCTCTGAGCTCTATGTGGGCAAGGCCTGGCCGTGCTGTCGCCCGCGCGAGCGCTGGCGTTCCCTGACGCCATGGACGCTGTGTTCGCCCAGCGGCTTGCCTAAGAGAAGGTCAGACCTGCCCTGGCTCTTCGCCGTCCTGGCTCTGCCGTTGGAGAGAGCACGAGGACGATGACTAAGCACGGAAGCGTCAGTGTCGATCTTAACCCGTGGATCATCATCGCGAATCGGCGACGGCCCGCATGGACCATGACCAAGATCGGCAACGACAAGATCACGCGACATCTTGGTCATGCTCATCGTGTTTCTTCCCTCGAGTCCTGGCTCTGCACTGGCTCTACCCTGGCTTCTTCCCCAAGAGGTCGAACCTGCCCGAAATAAACTGGTCCTGTGGAAGATCCTGTAGTGTGGGACACCCGCTTCCATCAGAAACCTGACGCCCGCCGGCTCGAAAACCATCGAAACGTCGGGTGGACGCCATGCTCAGACTCTGGAGGCAAGCTTCAGGCCCTGGGGCCAGAAGGCGACTCGGGACGAGACACTGGCCCCGCGGAAGGGCTCGAGAGGTCTGGGGGCCGGGGGCCCATGCCCCGAAGCAAGCAGGAGAGCCCAGAATCGAATCGACAAGTCGGATCGGCGATCGAAATGAGTCGGATCGGCGGAAATCGGCAGCCGACTCGGGAAAAGTCGAATCGACGGGAATCGGCAGGCTAGTAGGCCTCCACTGAGAGATCGGAGCCCAAATCGGAATCCGGAGTCGAATCGAATCGGCATCGGAAGCCACCGAGAGCGAATCGAATCGGAGGAACCGAAATGAGCCCTGCGCAAGGCACGGGTCTTCCCCGAGCCCTCGCCCCACGGGGCACGCCCGAAGCTCCTCGGGCCCGCTGCCTGCGCACATCGCCCGTCTCGTCGCTGCTCCGAGGCGGGCCGCTCGCTTTCGACGCCGCCCGCGCCACCGTCGCGGGCCCGTCCGAAGCCCGTCGCGAGAAGCGTGCACTCCTCCAGTGCTTGGGCCTCGGCTTGAAACGAAGCCTTGGGGGTCCCAAAACCGCGCGGTGACGGACCGCGCGGCGACAGACCGAACCCCAGGAGACCC